CGTTGCCACCGTTGTGACGTTGTCCCTCCGATTCGCAGCGTTTCTGAAACCGTCGCAACGACTTTTCCTTGATGACAAATATCTTTTCAGCCGCCGACAATATATATGTATCAAGAGCGTATTAAGAGAAGGAATACTTCTTAATACGCTCTTGTATGTATATGTATATATATATATATATATATATATATATATATATACTGCGTAAAGGCGGCGGAAGCGCGCTTTCTTTTCTTATGCGTCTGATAACCACGCACGCACGCACGCACGCACGCGGTTGTCAGCGTTGCGACGCCGTACCACTGCTTTATATTTATTCATGACATTTTCCCGGGATGTTTATGTTCATATGTGATTGTATTAAACAAAGAATACACGCGATTATTTGTTGTTTTACTTTCTGCATTTCATGTTTGCGTGAAGGATCTTGCCGCGCTTTTCATAATTTTATGTTTTCGCTGGCGGACCCGTCTCTTGCGCGTTCTATTCGAGCTGATTGCAATGCGGGCGGAAAACTAATCACCGATGGCAATGTGAAAGGTACGAGCCGATGTGTCGAATTTCGCGTAGGGCTTTTTGCAAGCTTGCTATGCATCGCCGCGAGATATTATTACTGGCGATGCATCCTCGTCAACACGACTTGAGATCTTTTCGCGAGGAAATGTAACGAGAAAGCTATCCTCTTAGCCGCCCTCACGTAGCTCCTCATAGCGGAGGCGTAGTCCGATGACTCTCGCGTGGGTGGACCGGTGCGAATGCTGGCGTCGAGTATCTAATTATAAGAGAGAGAAGCCATCGAGGAGGTGGGTGTCGTCATCTGCGTGTGTGGTCGTTCTCCAACTCTCGCCGAGCGCGGCGAACACTCAAATTGTAGACGTTTGATCAAGATAACAACGTGTTGGTTTTTGTTCGCGTGGAAAACGTCGCCAGATGAAGTTTTTTTTATTCGGTCATGTCTTGGTCATCTTCTTCATCTTTATCATATTAGTCATCTTCTTCTCCCCACTCCGTGGGTTTTTCCACTCGGGAGCAATGCTCGTGTGCGCGCGCGCGCGTGCGTGCGTGCGTGTGTGTGTGTTGTGGTGCGTGCGCTGTATGTGCCTGCGTCCCTGCGTATGCGTTCGTATTTTACTGTATGGTGCGTGCGTATACGTGCCGTGTGCGAGCGTATCTGCGTTGTGAGTGCGTGCGTGTCTGCGTGTGTGTGCGTGAGTGTCAGCGTGTGTGTGCGCGGAGGTGTCTGCATGTGAATATATATATATATATATAATATATATATATATATATATATAATATAGATATATATATATATATATATATATATATATACATACGTTTTGTGTGCATATCTATGTATAAGCGTGCGTGCCTTGGGTGCGCGTGCGTGCGTGGCGTCAGTGGGTGTAGGGGAGTTAATGCGTGTGGGTGTTTCCGCCTCCGACCACATAACGATGACGTGGCGTGCGGATTGTGTGCGATCAGCTGTCTTATAGTTGTCATGTAGTCGTCACCATGGCTGTTGCGGCCGTTATCGCGCGAGTTTACGTAATTTGTCGCGATGATGGCCGGCAGCCTGGCCGGGAGTGACAGCTTAATATACATTACCGCCGCCCGCACATTCACAGCTCAGCTATCAGGGCGTGGGCTATCAATTTCTAAGGGGGAGGCGAAATCTCATGACTCAACTGTGTAATGATGAGCGACAGGCGAAAATTTATGACTCAACTGTGTAATGATGAGCGACAGGCGCAGCTCTTGATCGACGTCGTGGATTTCGCGAATAAGTGATCTCACGTTATTAAGAAGAAAAAATCTCGTTAGGGTTATTTACGATTATTAGCTAAGCTTATTTGTTAATTTTGCTCCAAAA